TTAATAATTTTCAAGAATCAATTTTGTCAAATGTAGTAATTTCTCAAAAGTACTACAAATAATTAATTATCATGATTTCAGATTCGCTTGCGAGGCGCAATTATAAAAGTTAATTTATTTTGCAATTCGATCACGCATTCGCTTGTGTAGCGTGGTTATGACAACGTAATTTAACAATTTTTTTTTAATTTTAATAACCAAGAAATAAAAGCGGATAGGTAAAACACGAAAATCATATAAAGCACAGTTTGTCCAAAATTAATTAAGGCCAAGTTTTAAGTCAATAAAGCGACCGTGATAGAACCACGGGACTCGGGGAATGCCTTACACCTTCTCCCCAGTCAATAGAATTCCTTACCTGGACTTTATTTTTGCAGACCAATAATAAAAGAGTCAAATATTCCTTTGTATAGGGATTCAAATAAAAGGTGACTTGGAACACCTTAAAATCAATTCCAAGTGGCGACTCTGAACAATAAAATAATCCCTATTTCAAAATTATCACTTTAATTGGAAAAACTCTTTAACCCACAACAATCCATAACACACATATATTCTTTTTAGGGTAAAAAGGGGTGTGACAAGGAGTAAGGAACAAGATGCCTACATTCTGAAATTCATTGTGCCAGAAAGTCGGGAATACACATCTCATCGAAAGGCCAAGAAGTACAGAATACTACATTATTTTATTGGGTCAGTCAGATTCGTTCTACCACCCCAGGAGCATGATCACAAAGCTGAGTCAAAACTTGGGGTCCAATTTATAAGTTCAAAGTGGAGGCAGAAAGTGATTCGCGTCGTGTCGCGACATTAAATCAAGCGCTTGTTGGGAGGCAACCCAACTTTACTGCTTTCTTTTATTTTTTGTTCTTTTTACTATTATTATTATTATTATTATTATTTATTGTATTATTTTTGAGTGTCGATTTTTGATTTTCTAGGAGCATTGAAAGAAAAGCTAGTGGAAGGATGCAACAACAAACCAGATGGTTGGAACTAAGTGTGAGGTACTCGCACGAAGGACCAAGCCTGGGAGAAGTCTAAGTACCCCATGAGTTGCTAGTGTTTCGGCCTTTGACCTACCAGGGAGTTTCTTTTACCCTCTTATTAGTATGGTGTGCATTGGGGACAATGCACAATTTTAAGTGTGGGGTGAGGAGATTATCTGGGTGACTTTCTATGCTATTTTAGTTGTGTTTCTTTGATTAAATATTTTTTTTAGAAAAAAAAAGAAAAAAATGGACTTTTCCTGACGATGGATATCCTAGACAATTTTTTTGATGGATTAAGTCTAAAGAAAAAAAAGATAATAAGATTTTTTATGTAGGTAGTGTAGTAATTCCTCCTTGATTTTTTTTGTGCCGTTGTTATTTTTCAAGGGTTTTATTTGAATCGGGTGTAGTTAGTTTTATTTTTTTTAGGGAGCAGGAGCTAATGTGAGATGAATTGAATTGCAACGATATCTCTTAACTTTGTTATGCCTTGAAAATAGCGAGTACTTTGGTTGTGACGCTTAGGCTTAGTTTTTGACTCTTGTAACCTTAACTGCTTTGACTAGAGTGTCTTGATGAATCCAATCCTGAGTGAGTTATGTCCCATGTAGGTGTAAGGTTTGTGTGTTATTCTGTGCATTGCATTTGATGTCTAGAACTTGCCCCGTATGTTTGCCAAGCAAAATAGTAGTTTTTTCTCAGTCTTGAAAGTGATATAAACATTTCTTTGTTGAGCCTGATATGTATATTTTACCCGTCTAATTGTTATGTATCGTAGTTAACCCCTTTGAGCTCGTATCCTGTTTATTTGGCAATCACATTACAAGCCTTACCCCTTTGTTTGAATTAATCATCTATTTGAACCTTTTCACCTCTCATGAGCACTTGAATTATTATGAACTATGTAAAAGTTAAAGTGTGGGGTGATTGGTTTAGCATTTGAGTGGAACTAACGAGATAAGGAGAAAGGTGCACTGTGTTGGAAAAAACAAAAAAAGTAAGAGCCACTTGAATTGAAAAAGAAAAGGAAAAAAATAGTTGTATTGTGTGCAGATATTCATTGACAAGTGGTAACTGTTGATGTAATTGTGTTTAAATAATTTGGGAGTTAATATACATTGATGTGAATGTGGAGTTATGGTTTGACATAAGTATGTGCTTGAATGTTAAAGTATATGTATTAAAGTGCATAGGGAGGTGTAATCACTCTTATATTCAAATGTATCATACCCGGCCCGCAGCCTACATTACATCCTACTTGGTCATAGACTGAATGAGCTCGATTAGTAGAGCAGTACACTACGGGCAAGCCTATGGTGCATCTTTTGTAGCATATGAATGTTAGTTCTGAGAGTGAGTGAATTCTTTCTATCTTGAGTTCCTAATAGTTCTTACATTTTATTGTGTGTGTGGAACTACTCTCTTTGGTATTGTGAGGGCACTTGATTCATGAAGGAAATGTAATGTCATTGACCTCCATTTTAGAGTAAGTGAGTGAGTTGTGAATAACTCATGGTACTTGCGAGTCAAATCTTGAGGTGAAGATGTTACACCATTGTGTTGTAGTGTATTTTAAAGATTCTTGGTGTGATGAGTAAAGATAATTGCTTAAAAATGTCGTGTCTATAAGTGTAGTTTGATTGCTCGAGGATGAGCAGCATTTACCTTACATTTTGGGACTTTAATGCTAAACTATACTATATTTGTGCTTAATTGAGTCTATTTTATGTGTAGGTACGTCGAAGACGAAATTGGGAGCAAAGTAGAAATTTTATGTTTATTTAATACACTACAAAAATGGTTTATGAGTATTTAATTATTGGACAATTAGTATTATAATTTTTTTTTTAAAAATAAAAAAGAATGATTGACGAGACAAAAAGAAAGAATTCAAAGGAAATTGATTGGAGAAAGAGAAAGGCGGAAATCAAAAATGAAAGCTGAAGCAAAAGTTAGGCAACGAATCGGAGCATCAGGAGACGCGAGCCAAAAATCTCGCGTTAGAGCAGGCGCTGCAGGCCTAACGCACGGTCTGTCATGTGTTTCGGGTTTTAAGCCTATTTGTCTCCTATTTGATTTTGGACTTAATTATTTTTTTTCCCTACACATATAAATAGTCATTAAACATCAATTTTGAAGAGAGATCGAGTTTGGATACAACTTTAGACCTAGGAAGAGCACAGAGCCGTCGTAGAGATCGAAGATTCGACCTAAGGAGGCAAGAATACACTAGGAGCAAGGCGGAGAATTCATCTACGAGTTTTTTACTTCCTTCTTCCTATTTTCATTATTGGTTATGAATTCTAGCATTGTAATAATGCGTACTATTATGAATAGCTAATTTGTTATCCAGGGTTTTGATGGAACCTTTTGTAGGATGATTTTCCTGTTACGTTAATATAAATTTGCTGTAATATTTTCTCTATTTGTTCAACTACATTATTATTGTGGTTGGTTGAAGATCTCTCAATCGACTGTGCCTATTTAGTGTGTATTACTCGGGAGAGAGTGCATATTTAGGTAGTTGTTGAACAACATCACTCCTAACGTATATAATGGATCAATACGGAGGATTTAAAAGTGGGATTAGGGATAACGAAACCTTGGGTGCGATCCGAGTGAGCCGCACTTAATGCCAGCTTGCATAGTTCGGGAGAATATGTCTAGTAAATTGTGGTAATTAGAGAGAGTTACGACAGCCAGAGCGCTCATGATCGATAGAGAATAATTAGGCGAATTTATAGAAAACGTAGCGGGAAAGATTCCGACAATTGGGGAAATCATAACTCTAGACCTTCTTAACCTTGTCTCTAACCCTTAGTATCTGTAGTTGTTAATCTACTAATTTAATTTGTTAGTTAATTAGATACAAGAATCTTAATATTTACAACATAAGAATTGATCGAGCTTGTCTTCTTAGCAATATTGAACAATTGTAGCTAAGCCTTAATTCTCTGTGAGATTCGACTCTGGACATGTAAATCGGATTATATTTGCAATGACCGCTTAGTCCTTTTTTATAAGGCATAGTTAGGTGTGATCAGGCTACAAACATTTTAGCTCATGAGTCTATTTAGGTTGAACCCAAGTTAACCTCATTATTTTTTATAGCCCATTCTGACCCATGAAGTAGCCTAAATATAACCCATGAACCTCGCCCAAAACAAAGATATCTCAACCCAACTTATCTAGAAATTTACTTAGTTGCCCAAATTTTACTTTTTTTTTTTGTATTTTCAATTTTTTATTTTTTTTATTTTTTTGCACCACCCACCCGCCCTATCCTTCCCCCTCTCCTACAAAGCCCCCTAAAAAAAATATATATTTTTGTATTTTCAATTTTCTGTTTTCTATTTTTTTTGTTTCTCTCATCTCCTCCTTCTTCCCCCC